TGTTCAGGGCCTGGACTTGCAAGGGAGGCAAAGGCACAGCTCAAAACACCATTTAAACCATTTAACCACCCCCTCCACGCCCATAGGGGCAATTACACAGGGTCCCTCGGACACCCCAGACACTGGGGCTATCCCTGCAGCTTCCCTCAGGGAGGGAAACGGGGAAAGCACCCCGGAAGGATGGCACTGCTCTGCTTCTCGGGCCGGGCAGCACCATCCCTCCCCGGGGCCATACGCACCTTCCCCCACACCACCTCCAGCAGCATCCCCAAGAGGCTCTGCAGGGTCTCGCTCTTCCCCTCTGCGCTCCACACCAGGGGGGCCACGTCCTTCGGCAGCGCCTGGAAGAGCTGGAGGCAGGCCTGGAGGAGCAGGAGGGCCGGGGCCCGCGGGATGGCTGTCAGTATCCCTCACCTCTGAAAGAGCTGTGATTCCCCAGGGATGGCCATTCGAAGAGGCTCTGTGCGTTACATCCCTCCCGCGCATCGCTGCCGGCGCCTGGCCGGTCCTTGCGGGGGCTGATCCTTCCCCTGCTGCCGGATTTGGCTCTCACCTTGATGACCAGGTAGCCCCACGTGGTGCTGGGTGCAGGCTGGCTCTGCAGCACCCAGCGCAGGGTGGTGGCCAGGCGCTGCAGCAGCGGGGCCAGGTTCTGCTGCCAATGCTGCCGGCCCAGGCTGCTCTCCTCCATGAACAGGCACACTGCAAGCGAGGGGACAGCATCAGCCCCTGCCGCTGCCCACAGCCAGCCCTGCTCCCGGTTAAGCCAAGGACCGTGCTGCCGGTAAGCAGGGTGAGGATGGGGCTGGGATGCAGGGGATGCTCTGGCTTTGTCTGGTTTCCAGTTGTCACAGAGGGGGTGAGCAGAGCCATTGGGTGCTACTGGGGTCTCTGCAGGGATCCCACAGATCCGGCTGATCCCTGTCCCCTCTCCCACGAGCACAGAGGACCCGGTCTGGGTGGGCAGGGGTGTCCTGTGCATTGGTGGTGTGGGCTGGAAGAAACCTCTAGAGGGGAAGGAGCAGAGACTGACCTGACTGAAGGTCCCCAGGAGACAGCACCTGTGGGGGCAGAAGGACAGTTTGTCCCACATGAGAACATGCTGGGGCTCAGTGCCTTGGGCAGGAGGGTCCTGCCTGCACCTGAAGCTGTCCCAGGGGTGACCAAAGGGCTGGTGTGAGGAGCAGCCATGTGTCACCAGCTGCAAGCAACGTCAAACCCCCGCAGTGGTGGGAAGAGAAGCAAAGGACCCCGGGCAGCCCAAACCAGGAGGTCCCTGTCACACACGGGTTCCAGCCAAGCCCCTGCAAAGCCAGTGCCACCACAGAACCGGGGTTCTCTCACCTCTCCCTGCGGGGCCAGGCCAGACAGCAGCAAGCCCACCTCCTGGGCCAGCACGGCTTCCTTCCCCACTGCCAGCTGGGTCACGATCTGCCAAGAGACAGCCCAAGTCAGTGGGTCTGCCCAGACCCCATTAGCTACCCACTGCAGAGTGCAGCTTTCAGGAGAGCAGGGTGGTGGCACTGAGGCCCCTTTGCTGGTGAGGATGCACTGCATGAGAGCTGTGCCACTGCAAGCACAGCTGGGCGAGACCACCACTTGCACTTATGGCTAATAACTGCTCTGAAGCTGCAGCCCTGCCAGTTGCATTACGGACCTGTTCCAGTTTCTGGAAGGAGCTGGAGTTGCTGGTTGCCTCCATCTGGAAAGCCAGGACACAGCGGAGCAGAGGCCTTGCCTCTGCCTCACCCAGCGCCTGCAGACCCTCGCTCAGTGCCCGTGACTGCAGCAGAGCCTCCTCCAGGTGCTTGTCTCGGCATCTCTTGGCAGTACTCCTGAAACAGGATGAGGATGGGGTGAGGATACCTTGGGCTCAGTGGGGATTAGGGTGGTCATGCCCCATCTTAATGTGGATTGGGATAGGGGTGCCCCAGCTCAATGTGGATTGAGGTGGAGGTGCCATGGCCTGGTGGAGATTGGGGGGGGGGGGGGGAAGGAGGTGCCCCAGCATGATTTGGAGTAGGGGTGCCGCACCTTGACAGGGATTAGGGCTGGGGTGCCCCTGCTTGCAATGATCCTCTCTCCCAGTTGCACTCAGCATTGCATTGGGTCCGTTCTGGCGAATACAAGCCCGCGGTGGGGCGGTGGGGCGGGGGGTGTGGGATGGCAGAAAGACACAAAAAATCCTACGAACGGCTGCTCCGCTGCTGCAGAGCAGGCTGGGAAGGAACGGTGGCTCTGGCCGGGTACGGAGCCGAGCTTCCCTCCCTCCGTCCCAACCCGTGCCCAGGGGGATGCTCGGGGTACCCATGCCCGGGACATGCCGGTATTCGCGCCAGGGGGGGATGCTCGGGGTACCCGCGCTGGGGGATGCCGATACGCGTGCCCGGGGGGATGCTCGGGGTGCTCCACGCCGCGGGACTCCCGATGGACCCGCACCCCTGGGGGGATACCGGGAGTTCCTCGCCCGAGGTCCGTCCTCTTACCCGGCGAACTGCCGCAGGCATTGCAGGCAGGAGAGCACCGGCTGGGCGATAGCCAGCGCCCCGTAGAATTCAGCGCAGGCCTGCGCCTCCCGCTCGGCTCCCATGGCCGGGGACGGCACCATAGAGCTCGGCCGCGCTCCTGCCTGCTCAGCGGCCCCCCCTACCGCTGTCCCCCGGGCACGCGGGCGGGCTCCGGGGCTGCGGGAAGCTCCGGGCACCGCTGGGTGTCCTGGATGAAGGCAGAGGATGCAGGCGAGCCTCCCCGCCCGGCGGTTGCCTTCGTCAGGATGCTGGATCCACACTAAGAGCCAGTGAAGGGCCTCCTTCCTGCGGGATGGAATGGCCTTTGATTCATGAGAATGATCATCAAATCCAAATGGTTTTATTTGGGTTCTTTTTGCCAGTTGGCACAGGGTTGAGCTATTTTAACAGGCGCGATTTTGAGGTCCCCAAACTGTTCCATGATTCTGTAATTTCTGTGTCTTTCTTAAACCCCTGACTAATGCATCCCACTAAGCATCACCCAGCAGCTGCCACAAAAGTGCTTCTTGCTGGTTTTACCCTTGACAGATGTTTTTTCCCCTCTATTATTTCTTACAGTGGCACTGGGCAAGTGATGGTCGTGGGCAGTTTGCATGAGGTGGCATCACAGGACAGCAAAGCTGGCACAAACCAGCATCTGAACTGTGTGACCAAGAGGACACTGAGATGTGGCTCCGTTGGGCAAGCGCTGTGCGTGGGCACAGAGAGGCCCCTGCCTGTATATTTTGGCATCATTTGCCAGCAGCATCCATCCCTGCTCTGCTTTAGAAACCAGCCTGGAAGCCCAAATCCAGCCAGGGGTCCAGATTTATCCTGATTGCTGCCAAAATCACCAGGGAAGCAGCACAGGGTTTACCCCAGGTAAGGCAGAGCAACACAGGATGATGGTCACGTCCCTCAGACCTGCTCCTCCATTCCCTGAGCACCACGGCCAACCCACATGGGGGATAAGGGATTGGGGAGAAGGGCTGCCAAACCAGAGCCCCGTGGGTGCCAGCAGCCAGGCAGGGGCAAGGCAGGGGAGGGTTCTCCTGTGTTTTAGGGTCTCCAAAGCTCCTGTTCCCATCCCCTTGTGCTGCCTGCAGAAAGGGGGGCCGAGGGTGGGAGAGGGGGATTTTTTTCTGGTTTCACCATAGGAAGGATTTTCGAACCCTATAAAATTCCCTTTTGACAAGTGAACGGCGAAAGCAGATTAACCTTTTTGCTAATCCTCTATAATGGCTTTAGAATCTCCTTAACCAATAAGAAAATGATAAGAGCCTGTTTCTTTTCTTTTTATCTATATCTATATTGTCCTCCCTTGTCTGCACGTTTTTTCTTTCTTGTTTTATTTTCCTTTCCTTTTCTAATATGAAATAGCCCAGCGATCCTATCTCCTGGAGGCTCAGTAAACAGACCATCAGAAATCCCTTTCCTTTATTCCTCTCCGGTAACAGGGTGCAGAGAAGTGGCAGCCGATTGGGATTTGATTACCAGCAGCTATCAAAAGTCTCTTTGTAAGATCTGGGTCCTAAATCCCATAATTCTTTGATAAAAGAAGTATTACCAGTCCATTTTCTGAAGTGAAAGGTACGGGAGGAATGAAAGAAAGCAATCAGCAGAGATCCTAATAGGCTAAGTGTGTGTGTGGTGGGAAGCAGGGATGGGCAGAGGAGGCCAGGTGAAAGTGTCCTTTGTTAAGGATGGGGAAGGAAAATTAATCTGCTTTGGGTGTATGATTATTACAGCCAAGAGCAGAAAGGGTCTGATCCTGCATCGGGTCACGACATGTCCCAGCTCACCTGCCTACAGTCCCTCTGGAGCAGCACAGTGTGGGGAGCAGAACCTGGCCCCACATCCATTCCCATGTCAGTGCTTGGGTACGTGCTTAAAAGCTGGGAGCAAATTGCAATGATTCCTGGCATTAGTGGATCCCCAATACCTCTCTGGAGCACTGACACCTTGGCAGGGCAGCAGTGAACATGTCCAGACCTGATGGCTACAAAGGTATTCTCCTGTCAAACCTGTAGAAAACGTGAAGGTTCACAGAGCATGGTTATAACTTATGTTATGCCACTGGAAGAGCTGAAAAAGAGAGGCAGATAAAGGGACTGAAGAAACAATAGTGGTTTGGTTTTAAGTGAGATTTAACAGAGATTTGAGCGTCACAGGTAGGGTGGCTATGGGACATCCCTTCCCAGCACTGGGAGACCAGCAGGCAGAGGAAGGGGAGGCAGAAAGCAGAGCCCAGGAGCAAAGAATGGGGACTGAGAGGGGGCTCTCCTGGAGACTGGCTCTCGTTTTTGAGCAGTGCTGGAGCAGTTGCTGGGCTATTCAGTGTGAAGTCACGAGGTGCCACGAGGACCTTTGGTGTGCAGTGGTTTCACAGCACTCATTTGTGTGTCTCCCTGCTGTACTGGGAGTGGGACTGGTATCTTCTTTCCCCTGCAAAGAAACACCACTAGGGAAAGCGTTCCTGAAGCCTTGCTTAAACCACACTGAAGGCAAGAGAAGTTGGGTTTAAATTTCCCAAGCAACCCGAGCTTGACCACATCTTCTCTCTTTTAACTGGAGCTGCTCATTTCAGTTACAAACCCAAGATGGAAGGTGTCCTCTGTCCTCCTGTGGATCGCATCTGCCTGGCCTTGCTGTTTGCCCTCAGGCTGGTTGGTGCCAGGCGTCCCCTCCTGTCCCAAGCCACCTCTCTCGGCCATGGCCTCACCCCAGTTTCTCTCACTGGACAGAAGAAGCTGGGAATTGAACTGATGAAGCTTTGGGGAAGCCTGGCTGCTCCAGGCAGCATGTCCAGGCTGCTCCGGGCTCGCTGAAGCATCCATCAGCTGTGGCACCCTGCCTGGGCTGCTGTGGGACCTCCCTGCCTGCCTGCACATGAAGGCAGTGGGCAGCAATCATTCTCCAGCATTGCAAATGCCAAGCAGGGCTGAAGCTCAGCTGTACAGAGGTGGCTCCATGCCACTAAGCTGTGCCACAGAGCTGCCGCAAGCTGTCAGTAATCTAATTTATTAAGGGCTTTGAATCCTTACAAAGATTATGCTGGATACATGCAAAGCATCTGCATTATCACTGTGATTAGGGCAGCAGAGGTGGAGGAAAGGGGAAGGAGGGAAAATACAATTTCTCCAGTTTCAGCAGAAAATAAATCAACTTTTGCAGAGAGTTCTGGCACAGCCAAAGGCTGTGCTATCATTAAAAATGATTTTTTATTAAGCTGAACTCTCTCCTCTCTCATATTGTGTGATATGACAGCTCTCTTTTGATGGGAAAGCTTTCATTTGCCCAGAGAAAGGGATAATTTGCTTCTTTTAAGGAGTTAATCCTCTGGTCCATTTCTGAGCTGGGAACAGCTATCCTCCCCCTTCCTTGGATCGGAGGCTGCAGCACAATGGAGATCATAACCACCTCAAATCTACACCCGAGATGGAGAAATCAGATTTCCTTTTCCAGTCATTTTTGTGGGATTAGCTAAATCTTAGATCCACACTAACCCTTCACAAAGCTGCCAAGATTAGTTAGAATTTATTTTATTCACAGGGGGGTTTATGGTTTTCTTTCCAAAGGGATTATATCTCTCTCTATATATATAAATTTAGGGTGGCTTCAGTCATAAAGCAGCTGGGATAGAAGGAGAAAAAGTGTGTGTCTGTATAAAATAAAATCTCAGCTGTGAGAGTGACAGACACTTGAAATGCCAAGACAAAGCAGCGATTCCGGATGTCTTTGCCACTCCATTTCAAAAGCTATGTAAGCTGTGTTTTGGCTTGTGAGACCCCACTGTGGAGTCAGAACACAGAGGGCAAATCCCTTCAGCCTGAGCTCTCCATTCCTGTGGCCACTGCTGCTGGCAGAAGATGTCTTCAGAGCCAGGGTCAGATGCCAGCACCGACAAGAGAGGCGTAAAGAAGCCGTGTTCATTCAGCATCGAGGACATCCTCTCCAGCCCAGCAGAGAAGAGGCCCCAGGTCCTGGTCCCGCTGTGCCTCCGGAGCATCTTGGACTGCACACCCATGGGTCTGTGTGAGCTGGAGACCATCCCAGCCAGCTCCCTGCAGGAGGAGGAGGAGGAAGAAGAAGAGGAAGAGCTGGAAGGAGCAGGCTGCAACTGCTGCTGCTGTTCTCACACGAGCACCCGTTCCCTGCAGGACTCCCCAAGCTGGCTGGGTGAGTGTTTGGGTTCTATTCATGGCACTGGGCTTGTGAAGGGACTGGTGCCAGAACCATGTGCAGGGGAAAACCTGGGCATTGAGTCACAATACAGCATTTGACCTGCCACCACAGTGGTCTCAGATCCCAGCTCCAGGAGCTGAGCTCCAAAGAGCAGGCACTTTTACCTGCAATGCTACCAAGGCTTGAAAGGCAGCAGGTTCTATTACTTGATATTACTGGTTTAGTGTAAAACATTTGAGACATGATGCTTCTAGGGGTGGAAGTTCTCTGCGAAGTGCGGGGCTCCATGGTTGTGCTGCCTAAAAGTGATGCCCTAAGCCCTTCTCTCGCTTGCATGGTGATCACACAGCTTGTCACCCATGCTGGCTGCCTCCTGCCAAACAAGATGTGCGGATGAACTTCTGCCTGAACTGCCTTGAGGAAGATGTGTTTCAGCCCCCCACACCTAACGGTGCTGCGGTACATCTCCCCTTGCAGACACCCGGTTCCCCTGGCCCATGCAGCTCTTCCACTCAGCAGCCAGGGTCTGTAAGAGTCCCCAGGGGAACCCAGCCGAGCTGCAGAGTTGCCACCAGATCCAGCGCCGGACGCGCCGGCACCGCACCATATTCACCGAGGAGCAGCTGCAGGCTCTGGAGACGCTGTTCCATCAGAACCAGTACCCGGACGTCATCACCCGCGAGCACCTCGCAAACCGCATTCACCTGAAGGAGGAGAGGGTAGAGGTGAGATCCTGCCTCCCGGTAGGGTGCTGTTTGCCCCCAAGAACACAGACCAGGGGATGCAGACCCAGGGCCTCAGTTTAAAAACCATTGTTGGGTATTTGACAGAACACTGTTTAGGTCTGGCAAACAACAGAGTAATAGGAAACAGATCTGCTGGGCTGGTTTGTTCAGGTATCTGGCCCCACAAACTTACACCCTCTCTCTCTCCTAGAATCACCTGTATAAACACACAGAGGCCCAATTCAGCTCATCCCCTCACTGAAGTGTTTATTCCTTATTTACGTGATCTGTGTGACTTCTGAATTTGCCGGGGGGGAGGGGGGGGGTCACAGTTCTCTTGTCCCCCTTACATGTACTGAGCAAGATCGCGGGGGAGAGGCTCACTACATTCTGTACCATACCCTTATACTGGGAGGTGTATTACAGTACGCTAAAGCTTATGCTGTACAGTCCAAGGGTGTAAGCTGCTGTCTCCCTTCCAAGCAACACATGGGATGTGAAATTTCTTTTCTTGCTTTACGCTTTACAGGTGTGGTTTAAAAACCGTCGGGCCAAGTGGCGGCATCAGAAGAGGGCGTCCGCCTCGGCACTGGTCCTTCAAGGCACCAGGAAGTCCCCCGAGGAGAGCTGTTAGCGGTCACAGGCTGCATCTCAGCAGCTGCACGCCCAGCGCACCCATTTCCCATAGCTGACAGGTTCTGTAGGGGGTGACCCGAGGGGGGACTAATGAGGCAAAAGGGAATCTGTGATTCCCAGAGGATGAGGGCAGCTGAAAGCAGACACGGCACATTCACATCCAAGGTTCTCTCCCAGACCTAGCTCATGTGGCACGTAACTCGCCAGGCATTGACCCTCAGATGCCAAGGCCCGTGCAGGGGACAGAGCGATGCCAGTGTTCAGTGTGTGTGCTTCAAGAGGAGGGGAGACTCCTCTCCTCGTCTTGCTCCGTGCGGGCAGTATTTGTGCTTGTTTCACTGCTGTACACGTGCAACACACGAATGAATGTTTCCTACTTCCAGCACCTCCATGGCACCTGCAGTTGCTTTTGGGGATGACCCTTAACAACGACACCGGGCCCTCCCCATGCAGGAGGGGACCCCGCGCTGCGGTGCGAGGGGCTGGCACAGCGAGCGCCCTGCTCTCCCCGCACCGCTCTCCCTGTGCGCGTCCCGGGCAGGGCCAAGCACAACGGCGGCAGCGAGGCAAGTGAACGCCCCCGTCCCGCCGCTCCGTACGCGCTGGGCCGTGCCTCGCCCACCGCCGCGGGCCGGCCTCCCGCGGCCCCAACCGCCCAAGCGGCGGTGCGCGCTCCCCGGTGCGCTGAGGGGGGCTGTGGGCAGAGGGCTCCGCAGCGCGGCACAGCCCATCCGCGTGGCACCCGCCAGCTCCGCTACGACGGAACGAGACCGGGCGGGTCCTCCCTGCCGGCAGGGGGCGCGCTGCCCGCCGCCAGCACGGCTCCGTGCGTCTCTTCCGTGGGCGGGCCGGCGGGTGCGGGATGTTCCGGCTTCCCGTGGCGCGGCAGTGTGACGTCACGGCGTGACGTCACGGCGCGTCGCGTTTGCGGCGGCGGCGGAGGGAGGTGTGGGTGTGCCGCGGTGGGCCCGGCCCGGCGCTATGGAGCAGGCGGTGGCTCCGGCGGCCTCCGCCCGTGCCGTGGTGCCGGCCGCGGGCAAGGGCGACGGCGCGACCCCGGCGGCCTCTAGGCGCCCGAAGACGATCCTGGATGAGGAGACCTACATCGAGGTAAGCCGGCGGGCCTGCGCCTGGGCCGAGCGCGGCGGGTCCCGCTGTAACCCGGGCTGCGTTTGGGCCTGGGGGCGAGGCAGCTCTGCGGCCGCCCGACGGGCTCCGGTACGTCCCGTGCGGTGCCCGGCAGCCGGCGCGGCGCTCCGAGGTGTCCCGGCTCGGCCCCGCAGCTGTGTCTGTGCTTGCAGCGTCTGGAGAAGATCATTCAGCGAGACTTCTTCCCTGATGTGGCGGTGTTGCGAGCGCAGAAGGATTATCTGGAGGCGGAAGAAAACGGCGACTTGGAGAAAATGAGGCAAATCGCGATCAAATTTGGCTCCTCCTTGGGCAAATCCTCGGGGGATGTACCTGTACCCTGTAAGAACTGCATCACTGGGGTGTGAGGGTTGATATCTGATGTTACTGCTCTGATTTAGCTGTGTGAAGGTGGTGCTTATCTTAACCATTCACATTGTCTTTGCATGGGAATTAGCCTGCCAGATTGGGCAGTAGCCACTGTCAGATGAGTGATGGTGAATTTCCATTTGATGGTGTTTATATTTCCTTCTTGAGGGAATGGTTTTGGAAAAAAAACAGCTACTGAGTAACCATTCCTCACAGGCATCTTTTGCCAAGCTCCTGCTCCCTAGGGAATGTTACATACTTGAATGTGCAATGTTATTGTATCAGAAAACTCTTAAGCTATGTTTTGAATTCTTATTATAGTTTTAGGGGTTCTTGTTGAGTCTACAGATGTGTAAGGTGTTTGTTTATGGGGGACAGAAGATGTTGGAAGCTCGTAATTATCAGAGGTTCATACAGCAGGCACCCTGTTGTATGTCTGCTTTCTCTTCAGGTTCAGGTGTCTATTACGTTAAAGCCCAGTTTCTGGCTAAGCTTTTGCAGTGGGGTTTAGGCTTTCTTGTGGCAAAGGGCATGTGTCAGCCAGTGGTTTCTCTTTCTCCCCTGCTGCAAGGGCTGGTTCTGGCCTAGGTGAAGATTGTTGTGCTGCTGCTTGCTTCTGCAAGCAGAAGCTGTTCATAAAGTGGCAAATATACTGGGCTGTGACTCTCCTGTGAATTTTTCCTAACAGGAGAAAAATGATGACTTAGATGAGAGCAAAATCTTGTTCAGCGTTTGAGACAGAATTGAATATTTGGCATCTTTTCACAATTTTTAATGAAATCGTGGTTCTCTTGCTATGTGTTCTGTGACTTGTTTGGTATGTGACCCTTTCTGTGGTGGAGGACGTCACAGCAAGTGTCTCATTCTGTGTTCTGCTAACCATTTTTTCTGTCACAGATGTTACTCCAGCCACATTTGAAACCCCAGAAGTGCATCCAAGTGGCCTTCCACTGGAGGATAAATCCAAAGCTGGTGTTAAAGCTGCAGAGGAAGGTAGGAGAATGATGTTTGTTCAGCTGAATTCTTCAGCAGCAGGAAAATACTTTTGTGAGCTCTGTCTCCTGGAAGGATTGTGGGTATTTAGCAGGTGTTGAAGCAGTTTCCTTTAACCTTCTAATGGGTGAAAATGATCATTCTGAAGCTGAACTTGATGTAAAGTTTTGTCGTGTGTGTGAGTTCTCAGTTGTGGGTCTCTTTAGGGCTGTGTAAATTCTGAACTCAGTTGAACTCTTTGAAGGCAGAAGGTTTTTTTTCTACATCAGCTGAAATTAATTCTGTAAGTAAACAAAGATTGTAGGGGCAGAGCTACTCATATACAATATTAAAAATGTCTGCTAGCAGCTGTCCATGTGTGCAATTTCCTTTAACACAGATAGCTATAAATGCCATAAAAAGTTTTATGGGAAGGTTGGTTATATGTTTTGCCAAAAAGAATGTTTTATTGTACCGCTCTGCATGTGTGTATTTTTTTTTTGACACTGAGCTTCATGCTAATTATTAGTGGGTCTCTAGAAGGTTTGCTGTCAGAATGATTAAGAATTACGTATAGTGCTGTTGTAGAAAAGGAGGTATTAGTCTTTTTTCAGGCTTCTTCCCTCTTTTTGTTAGGAGAAGCAGAGAAAGGTGATAAAGAGGCACTTCCCAGTCTGGACAGCTTCCTAGCAAAACACACAAGTGAAGATAATGCTTCATTTGAGCAGATCATGGAAGTGGCCAAAGAGAAGGAGAAAGTCAAGCATGCTTGGCTGTACAGTGCAGAAGAAGAGTATGCCCAGGTACGGAAATGGCTCAGCTGTATCTCTGCTCCTGAGGTGACACAACAGGGAAATACTGTTTTATTGTATGTCTTTCTTGTTTGATTAAAGAAAATATTATCTTTTTGTTTTCGAATCCTACTATAAAAACAGATGGGAGTTCATGGGCTCTGAGTGTGAGGCTATTGCATTAGACCATGGAATTACTCATATTGCAGAATAAGAATAGAAAGGTCTTGATTTTAAGTAGTAGGTGCTTGGCGTGATCACATTAAATCTGAGCTAAGCCTGAGTTTCCTGGGTCCTGTGAGAGCTCGTTGCTTCCTTTGTAGTCCTGCTTTTTCCCCATCTGTAACTCGAGAGCAGTGTTGATTGTTGAGGATCTATCTCTTCCTAAAGTTGTGAGACTGGAGCATTGCACTGAGTGCAGGTGTTGCTGTTCTTGGCAGTCTCTTCCATAAGCGTCAATATCAAGGAGAGCAGCTGAGAAAAGTTCCTGTTGTTTGTCCATGAGCCCTTTATTATTTGCAGTTAGATTGTATTATTTCTGTTTCTGTAGCCAATAATAATCTATTCAGCTGCTGAAGTAAAGTCCTGTACACAGCATGGCCGGCTGTGCTGTCTGCCTCAGCTAGCTTCATGGGGCATTCAGGGCCTCTTCTGGAGCTGCCATGTCAATCTTTCTCCATCAGCAGTGAGCAGCCGGCATTGATGCCAGATGCATCAGTGATGGATGTAAGTTGCAGTGCCTTTTAATGAAGTTTGGCACTGACACCTGGGTGTTTCCTGCTGTGTTACTGTGAGTGAGGGTTATGGTTTTATCCCAGCTAATGTAAACCCTTGGAGTCTGTTACAATAAAAGTGCTCTTTGTGGCTCATTAAGCATCCTCTTTGCCCAAATGCTTTCATCCAGAATTAAAAGGCAGGCAGCAGGAGACCGTTTGCAAAGCACAGGGGTTGTTTCAGATCAGGGTGAGGTTTCCAGAGCTGGTCTGTGCTGATGCTGTGTGTCTTCCTGTCAGCCAGCACTGTTCAGACCTAGCATTTCCTTGCATTGCATGCCTGTTGATGTAGCAGACAATTTTGCTATGCCTCATTTAACGTATTTGGTGACGATACTGCTATTTAAATGTATATGGACAACATCAGTTGATGTCTTTAATATAGAGCTTCTGGCAGTAATTTTCTGGTTTAATTGGTGTGAGAGTTTTTAAATGGAGTAACTTATTGGTGGGTGACTGCATTCTGTTAGGTTTTTTTTGTATCGGTGATACTAGTATGCTGGTAACAGCACACAAGTAACTGTGTGAGTAAGTGTACACACAAGCAAGTGTAAGTATGTCAAATGCTTTCATACCTGTGTTGCCTATGGAAATGTTTGGAAACTAAGTATTGAAGAAGTGCCCATTCTGGTTTTTACTGCTTGCCTCAGCTAATGCAGTTTGCATGATAACCAGGATAATACAGACACTCTCCCAGGTTTACATGCCAAAGTCTTGTAAGCTGCCTTTATGTTAGATATAGTGCCTGATGTTGCTCTTCCCTCTTTTAGCAATGAATGCTTCATTTGAGTTTTTATTAGTAGATAGAGAAAAAACAGACAAAGCCTGAACCAAAACAAGTGTTGTCACAAGATGTAATAAACAAAGTCATAATCTTTATAAGAATTTACTTCTCTGGTTCTCACCTGGTTTTATACCAGAACTTCATATGGAATTGTTTGCAAGCTCAGGTGGGAACAGGATGGTTTCTCAAATGACACTTGCTAGAGAGTGCTTATGCCATGCCAGGGGCAAAGTATGCTATGGCAGGGAGCTGAGCTTGTGATTGAGCTCTGCATGGTGCAGGTGCCTGGTTGAAATGTTGCAGGAGTCAGAACTGGTTCTCCCCCTGCCACCACCCTTTTCTAATCCTTTTTTCTATCATGCTTTCAGCGTCGCAGTGAGAACCTGGCACTTCCTTCAGCAGAGCAGCAAGCTCTGGAGAGTGTGAAAGCTGGGCTGGAGACCTGGGAATACACAGCTCGAAACACCCTCATGTATTATCCGACAGGTGAGGTTGCAGGTTTCTCGTGAGGGGCATTGATTCTGAGTGGATTGACTCTGAACAGTGCTAACAGCATAACAGCATTTCTATAGATGACTGAGCACCTCTTACTGGCAATAGTGCACTTTTTCCTCTGTGAAACTCAGATACATAAAGTTACTTTAAAATGCCTGGGGTTTGCTCTCTCTCTTTTTGTATTTTTTTTCTCTTTTTCTTTATTTGAACTTTGCTCCTTTGCCTTTGATTGCAAAAGGCAGTCAAAGTGTGATCATATTCTGTTTGTCATTGAGAAATTCATTATCTGTATTACAGAAGCACTTGGTTTCAGGAGCCAAAGCTCTTTCCAGTTTGGTCTTTCTTCTTTATAAGCACTTTCTTGTCATCTTTATTCAATCTTAGCTTCTGCTCAGAGAGTGCTTCTTGAGCTTTTTGGGTTTTTGGTTGCTATAGAAAACTATGTAATTTGTAACTGCCCTTTTCTTTGGTTATAAATGGACAATTGGTAACCTGCAAACCAGTGAAGTACAGAAAAGAAAGTCTTGTTAACTTAAAAAAAATTAAAAATCTGATCTTAATTTGTAGATTTCAGCTTCTATCTGGTACAAATTCTGTTTTAAATTGCTAGTGATACACACCGCAATTGCTGATGGATTCTGTGTTGTGTAGGAATGTGTGGCAAGTGTGTTGGTCAGGAGCTTTAGAGCACACTGCCTAGTGTTATCTGAGCCCTTTCTTAAAAGGTATTTTGCTTTTCAAGGTGTACCGGATGGGGATGAAGTATTTAAGAAGCCCAGGGAAGTTGTCCATCAAAACACCCGTTTTGTGAAGGACCCTTTTAGCCAAGCCGTGAGCAAATCACAACTCCAACAAGCTGCAGCCCTCAATGCTCAGGTTGGATAATTGCACTTCCAATACTTCGTTAGACTCTTCCCTCTAACGTTGATCAACCAGGAAAACTGTGTGTACTAGATAATGCTGGTTCACACCTTTCTCCACATGGATGGCATTGTCTCTTTTTTATTTCAGTACAAACAGGGCAAAGTGGGACCAGATGGGAAAGAACTGATACCCCAAGAGTCTCCAAAAGTGAATGGATATGGATTTGTGGCTACCCCCTCTCCTGCCCCTGGTAAGAGGGATTTCTTATGTTTTCTGATGTAAGATGCTCTGTTTGTTCAACTCTGAGGTATCGTTGGTTTAGACAAGGAGATGAGCTTTCTATCTATGTAAGTGTCATGAGCTGGTGACTTTCTTGTGTACTGTGTATGCTAGCTCAGCCCAGTGCTTAAATCCTAGTCCCATACACTGGCTAGAGGAGTCATGCTGTACCCGAGAGGCTCTGAGCAAGCTGTCATGCCACCACTTAGGAGCCATGTAGAGGGTGGTGAGCCCTCCTAGGCAACTGGGGTGCTGTGGCTGCTTGTTTTATCCCTGGGTTGTACTTCTGTGGGGCTTAAAGAATTGAGGTCCTTCACAACCATTTACATTCCAATGAATTGTCCTGTAGTTTTTTGAGTGATATTCAGCCTGACTCATAGCAATGTGGCATATCACTTCCTTCACAGTCTAACCTGCTATTTCTCTCCACGTCTGCCGCTTTCTTGGTTCCTGCTTTGTCTGAATACACTTGTGTATTATATATTCCTTTTGTTCACGTGGATTAGCAGTAGGATACTTTTGGTTAGAGCAGACGTGTTTTTTCTTCCAGTGGAAACGTGGTATCTTAAGTTTTCACCTGCTCCTCGCTAACAGCTGTGTTTCCCTGTCTTTTGTTATTATGCTAGAAGCTGAACGTACTGAGGCTTTTCCTCCAGAAAGCCTGTAGGTGGCATTTGGAGCGCGCCTTCTTTCTCCATAGGAGTGCCTGTTCATACCAGTCACTAGCCAGCGACTTAATCGGGCTTTTAGCCTCAATTCATCTTGAGGCTAGCCTGTACCAAGCAGTGACTGCGCTTTGTCTGACAGCTACAACCGCAAAATAGATTCTAAGTTTGGCTATTACATGTATTCTAAGTCCTCTGCCTGTTTCTGTGCTTTATAAATAGTTCCTTACATTAAAGAAGTTTTCATGAAGTAACAGAGGGGAAGACTAGTACCACAGAGGAAAAAATGAAAGTGGCACTTAGCAAAAGCTCACCAAATGGAAAAATAAACATATGGAAAGGACAGTGCTTGGGTGTTGTCACCTGGAGGGTGACACAGCCACTGGCAATGCTGTGAGTTTAAGGTCACGCTCTTTCAATGGGAACCACATGTTGCTATTGAATATAGGCTGTGATTTCCTCTGCAGTGGAGGGGCTCCTTTTGTGTGTTGATGGATTTGCATTTCATAATTTGCCTCTCTGGATTTTTTTTGTGGTGAATGAACAGTCAAATGTCTTTCATGAGCATGACTCTTAAAATTTGGTTTTAGGTGTGAATGAGTCTCCTTTTATGACATGGGGTGAAATTGAAAGCACCCCTTTGCGCTTAGAAGGGTCAGAAACGCCCTATGTGGACAGAACGCCTGGACCAGCCTTCAAGGTATTCCATGTCATCAGTCAGCATGTCATTCTTTTTTGGGGGGAAGGACTAAGAAGGGAAAGGGAAGTGAGTAACTAATAGGTTAACATTGCTGTAGGAGTGTGACACGTCTCTGGGCTTTGTTCGCAGTCCCTGGTTCCAGTAATCTAGGTTCTGCTTGGAGGGTGGAGGTGGACATGAACGCTGCTTGGTGGAGGTACCTGAGGTGGAACACACACTGTTGTCAGGAGAGTGAGACTTCATATTTGATGATACAAAGCCCAGACATAGGGGTTATCAGAGGAAGCTGAAGAGACACCCAATTTATCCAATTTCAGTGTATAAATGGGTAGAAACTGTAGGATTTCCCTCTGTCTTGATCTTTTGGCTGTCACAGCCTGAGGCAGGTATATCACTTGAGAATATAAAAAGGCGCTCTGGCTTTGCTAATGGTACGGGTCCTTGCATGCCACCTGTCTCCTGCTGTTTTCATTGTGTATGAGCTGAGAGTCTTGCTTCAAGAAAGGTGTAATTTGCTGTGTGTGCCTATGTTTTGCTGGACTCAGAAGCCCTTGACTGGTTCTCCTGCTGTGTAGCAATGTGTGTTTGCCTGAGAGCTGGCTGGCCACAGGCCAGGCCATGCAAGACACAGGTGACATTGTTTGTCTAGGAGGGACAGCAGGAGGAAATGCCAGAGGTAATGGCTGCTTCCTCGACTGAACTGGTTCTACCATTTTTGTTACTTGCTTAGGCAGGTTGAAGGTCCCTCTGTGTCCTCTCTGGCTTTTACGTAGCAGCAGAGGGTTGTGGGCTGACCCCGCTTCTCCCCAGTTTAGATCCCTGTAAACTGGAATCCAACTGTGAAGGTGCTTTGACTCATTTTTGCAGCATTCATGAGAGTCTCTTGGCAACTGAACTGTGTGATGCATTTGTAGATCCTGGAGCCTGGGCGCCGTGAGAGGTTGGGGCTCAAGATGGCCAATGAAGTGGCAGCTAAAAAACGAGCAAAGAAGCTGGAGGCACTTCGAAAAGCGACAGAAAACTTGGCCAGGTGAGATTTGTTCTGACAGCAGAACTGGGGAGGGGTATCTGCTGATGAGATTTAAATCAACATACATAGAAAGGGAAGAATGATCAGAGTACTGGGAGCAGCGGTAGGTACAGTCAGACTGCAAGTTTTTAGAAATCAGAAAACTTAATTCCTGAGGGAAGGTGGCTGGTGGCTGTCCTTGATACTCCCTCTTGTCAGCATCACTGTTCTGCCTTACAGCCACCCAGCAGTGCATCTGGATCAGTGTCTTGCCTCATTGCAAAGAGGAGACGTGATAAGTCTTGCTTGGCCGTTTCATAGGAAGGATAGAATAGGCTCAAAGGAAAAGGCAGGTGGTACCACTCAGGTTTGGAGGGATGTAGGAGGTTTCTTTGTCACTTGTCTCTAGAGAGACAGGCTGCATTTACCCATAGGCAGAATGACTTCTGCAGCCAGTGGGTCTGGTCTGTTGTGAGAGTGGATACCAAGCTCATCTGTGGAAGCATTGATGCTCTTCCACATAAGTGGCAGATTTTTACTGTAAAATCTTTTAAACCTGTTTATTCTGTTCCAGCTTCACTCCAAAAGGACTAAGCCCAGCAATGTCACCAGCTTTGCAGAGACTAGTAAACAGGACTGCAAGTAAATATACCGACAAAGCACTGCGAGCCAGCTATACTCCTTCTCCAGCCCACACTGGAACACCTGGTTACAAGACCCCAGCAAGTGGGCCTCATACACCCACAAGCACCCCACAATCTAGGACAGTATCTCAGACGCCAGTATCTCAGGATACTACATCAATCACAGACAATTTACTGCAGCTTCCTAAAAGAAGGAAGGCATCTAATTTCATCTGAATATTCCAGTCACCAGCAAGGCAACAGTGAACTGGCTCTGCTCGGCTGTCTGCAAATGGGATGTTGTGAGGCATCGGTGTAAGGGGTGTCTAGATACAGCTGCCAGAATGGAAACCAGTGGTTAGAAGACTTGGGACCAGCGCTACTCTAAACAATATAGATAAAATAGCCTGTAATGTGCTTTTTGGAAGCAGAGTATCTCTTGCTGTGGTATAAATTCCCTTTAAACTGCATGGGTGGGATGCACAGGGCTGTGGTAGAAAAAGAATGCTTCCTGCAATGGCAGAGAAGATTCTGGACTCTTGGAAAAGGGTGATAATTGTTTTAAGATCCATTTCTTTTTTTTTAAGATGGCCATGCATTTAAATACATTTCTGTACAGATATGTCTATTTATAAAATGTGTTAAGCCTTCCTAAAAGGTTGAACTGGAATTCCTTTGAGCTCGTCAGACGTCTTTGGTTTTGTATTTTGCAGAAGAGCAGATATAATCATGTATGTATTAAGACATGACCCAGAGTTTTTAGAGGGCCTCTCTTTAATTTGAGTTGCTCTTGAATGTGGCTTGGACTTGCCGAGAGAGGTGATATATTCGGAAGACAGTATGCATACAGATTCAGCTGTCGGTTCACAATGCCCAGTAACCTACCTGAATACACGGTGTGGTTGATGCACATGTGGATTCTGCAGCCTGTGTAGTCAGAAACTTGAGGAAGGTGAGTGTAAGACCTGTTAAATGCCAGCAGCACTGAAAGAAACTGTCCAGTGTGTTTTGACAGTAACTTCCCTGCAAACCGTATCAGAGACAGGCCTTGAGAACAATAGGGTTAAGCTGTTTATTCACCTCAGCAGATGTACAGTGTCTTCTATTGCTATTCTTTGTAAAGCAAGAGGTGAGGACTGTTGCTGAAGCAGAAGCTAAAGTTGAGAATCAGCAGTTCACAAGTTAGATCGACTTTGTGATACTGTTAAAACCAGCCATCCTTAGGAGGATCCTGTTTACTTCTGTCTTTTCCCTTTTGCTTAATGGCATTTGGCTTGATGCTTTTGCTTTGGCTTTCCTTCATGTGGGTTGTGGGAACACTCACCCTCTTCTGGAGCTGGCAGAGGGGACTCGACAGTGGCATCTGGAGTCTGCAGCCATGAGTGTTTCAAAACTTCATCTATGCACAATCTCTGAGACACATTGGGCTGGAGCAGGTGGTTAATGAGATCCTTGCACTCTACAGTCAGGTGTTTTGTGCTGGGGAAGGAAATCCTGTGTTGTTTCTGAAAAAAAATCATTTTCTTGATGTTGGAATCATCAAATGGCATGGAAGCGTAGACCATTATATACAGGATGACGCCCAGACTCCACATGTCAGAAATCCTGGGGTCACAAGGAATGCCCTGTAGCACTTCAGGGGCTGCATACGCAGCAGACCCACAGAAGGTATTGCTGAGAATCATTTTCCCATTTTTATCCCAAGACAAGAGTTTGGAAAAGCCAAAGTCTGTCAGCTTGATGTTGAGGCCATCATCAAGAAGGATGTTCTCACATTTCAGGTCCCTGTGAGCAAAGTTTGAGTCATGGCAATGCTTGATGGCAGAAGCCAACTGCTGAAACTTCATGCGAGCAAAGTCCTCTCTCATAGCTCCTGTGATCTTGATGTGGTCCAGGAGGTCTCCCTTTTCCCCCAGCTCCATCACGATATACACTTTCCCAGCTGATGTCTCAAAAATCTCATAGGTTTTGATGATTGATGGATGTTGCAAACATCTCAAAGCCTCTATCTCCCTGGGGAGAAACCTTTCCCAAAAGTCTCCAGGAGTTTTCATCTTGTCGATGATCTTGACAGCCACTTTGCACTTCAGCCGGTTGCAGAAGGCACATTTCACTTTGCTGTAAGAGCCTTGTCCTAACGTGTTGCTGAGGCTATAGCCTTTCTTTCCAAGCACTGTAACGTCATCCATGGTGGAAGAGCTGGAGGGAGCTGCATGAGGTGGCGCTGGCGTGCATCATGGGTGGTGGCAGATGGTGTGTGCACCCACCATGGTGGCTGCTTGGGTTGCTGCTGCCGTGGTCGAGTGGCACCGGAGCGCTGGTCCCTATGTGATGTCACAGGTGCTCGGAAGGACCTTGCAGCCCTTTCCTGAAGCTTCAGGATGATGTCATCCAGGGCAGAACTTGGCATCAAGTCACTTGGAAACATCACCCATACCCTGCCTTCATCGTAAACTGATCTTTAGTTTTGCTAACAGGATGGAAGTACCCCAGATGTTTTTCTTTCCTAAAATGTACCCAAGTCTGTTTATATTTATTCACGTTAGGTGAAATTTTGTCATCTTTTTGTATGCCTTGGATGATCTTTCAAGCCCCATGTGGGTGTGCTTCTGCTGTACAGTGGCCTTGCTTCTCAACAGCCAGTTTTCCTCAGAAATGGGCTTGTCGTGTCTTAACTGAGGCTGCATTCAAGAACTGGGCTTGAGTTTGGCTTGGGGTTTTTTCCTTCATGGGCTTGCTAGGGGAAGGACATCACTTCTTTCAAGTTCATTTCCTTGTTGTTCATCCAGCCCTTCCATTTCATAGCTCTGACTGGCTGCTTCTATGGGCTTTGCTTTTGCTGTGTGAGGGGGGTTATGTTTTGACTTCTAGCTTCTGGTGTTCTTGAGAAAGGCTCACACAACACCTTCCTCAGAGGGATTACTGTTCTGTATGTTGACAGCTTCACTGTAACCAGCCTCTGGGGCTTTTTGCTTTCTGTTCATTTCAGCTTTTTCAGATCTGTTGTTACTGCTGCTTTGTGTGTGACACCAAAGACTTGATGGTGTTGATGATCAAAACATGGGGGCTGGGACAACCTTGCTTTGTCCATCAGCATGGGTGACAATGTCATTCTGAAGAACAGAAGTGGCACTTCTGCCAGCCACACTGGGGCTTTTGGGGGGTTTCTCTTCCCATTCTTTGAAACTTGTGGGTAATTATTCTAATCAGCCAAAAGAAAAAGAAAGAAAGGAGAGTAGTTTTACCCATGCACAGCTTGCTCTCAGAGTTGAGTGACTGAGCAGTGGCGTGGTGTGATCCACCCTGGAGCAGCACAGAGCACCTTTTAGCAGGAAGCAGGCGTAGCCAGATGTGTACGCTTCCTGCAGCACGCCTGAGCACAGGGCAGCATGTGTGACACTTGGAAGTCTTGGACACTTGCTATAATCAGGTGATGTTTTACCGAGGAAACTTCCATGGAAAATCCTCTGCGGCTCTTTGAGCAGTGCCTGCAGCCTTCTGTGAGGTCTGGGGGGGTTTGATGCTGTGTTTTCTTGGTGGAGAGATTCTTCCTGTGAAAAACCCTAAGTGACTCGATTTTTATAGCGCACCGTGTACAAATCAATTGCTCACCATGGCATTGCAAGGAGTTAGCCATTTTTGCCTTTCAGTCAGAAATAATTGAAGGCCAAGTTTTGTCTTTAAGCAAAAAAATTGCTCTCACATATTCGTGAATGTAAAGGGAGCCCATTTACTGGCGTTTCCATGCTTTCAGAGATGTTCTTTAAGGACTGAACTGGGTAAATAACAATGAGTTTCTTAGGTAATTTAAACAACAAATTATTTATTTCATAATGACCACACGTTCCGCTCATCTCCAGTAAATGTAGGACCTCCCTGTTGGGGCACACAGGCAGATGGTCAGGCCCTGGCCTGCAGTTAGAGTCACCCAACAGAGCAGGAGAATGGAGTAGATGTGACATAAAGATGGTCGGATGTAGTAGGCACTGCTACGGAGAGCACCCAGGGGAATGTTTGAGCTTCACAGATAACTGAGGAGCAGCACAGGGACTACCAGGGTGTGGAGGTGACCCAGTGAGAGGTTATCAGAAACACCAAATTTGGCTGTAGATGTAACAAGGCTGGGCCCAAGGGGAGACAGTAATTAAAGGAGGTTATTTTGGGAAGAGATGAGGGTTAGAGAAAAGGAGGGATTAGAGAACAAGCACGGGAACAGAGAGAAACTGGATGTGCGGAAGCAGGCTGTCATCGGTGTGTGTGTCTCAAGCCCAGTACCTGATTTCCACCACCTTGTTCACTGATTCCTATCCCTTCTCTGGTTGTGGGAGCTCTCTCTTCTGGACATGGGATGCACGTAAAAGCTAGGTAGTGTTTGAGGACTACAGATGGGGTGTACATATGGGTCAGGAGTGGGCACACATCTTCCACAGCATTTGAATCTGGTCATGCTCATGCTAAGACAGAGTTGGAATGACAGAGGGGAATGTGCTATCTGTGAATGATTAGTTCCATGTTGTGCAATCAATGCTTCTGAGCAGATCGCCTTATATATCCTGTGGGCTGGTGTTGGTTTTGTGTTCACCCTCAAGTGAATGAACCCAGACAGCCCTGGGACTAAAATCCCAGTCTCGGTTCTGCCAGACTGAAAGGCCTTCATGTGTTTGCTGGGAATGTAATTTATTGCTATAAAGCTGGATCTCTTGAAGGGGATGTAGTGCTCTTCAGATAGGCTATTCCTGTAACGCCTCCTGTAGTGTCTGGTCTCCGCTTCCTGCTGCAGTTCAGCTCCTGCTATCTGTAATTAGGGAATCAGTAATAAACTCTTCATTGCCTGATATTTTTGCTGCTGTAGCACTAGCAGATGATGTGCCTTTACAAGGCCAAATCCCATGTGAAAAACCATCTTGGTTCTTCATGACTTGTGATTTTTCCTTTTTCCTCTCTTTTTTGAGAGGGTTATTTTCCTTTTGCTCTTCCTGCATACCTGCATTGTCCAAGGCGCAAGCATGCTTCCTCCCTCAGCCAGAATAACACCTGGAGCTTACCTCAATGAAGCAAACCGCTGATTACACCAGGCACAACTGCTGCTCTTTGATTTATGGGACACAGGTAAGAACATGATGAGCAGAAGACAAGCAGCAGCCCAGGGTTTGGTGAGGCAAGTAGCTGAGAGCTCCTGTCACCATCACCCCACACCATGCTTTGAGTGAAGAGCCAGGATGGAGGTGGCCAGGGGAGTGGTGGGGCACTGTCCTGGGGCAGGAGGCTGCTCTCCAGCTCATGTTCCTCATCCCCTGTGGGCTACGTGAGCCATGTCTTGGGGCAGGGGTCTGGCTCTGCAACAGGATGTCCCAAGGCACCAACCGCCAACCTGCTCCCCTGTGCACTTCATCTTGAAGACCAAGAGTGTTTCCCTGGGGCAGATGCAGCCTCCCCTGCTGTGGTACAAGGGGCTGTACAGGGCCTGCAGTTTTCCACCACCCGAAACCAGGTTCCAGTAAGGAGTGGGGCTCTGAGCTGCTCTCTACTTAGTCGTAGAATGGTTAGGGCTGGAAAGAACCTTATTTAGCTCAGAAGGGAAGCTGTGGTTGGAGTTACTTTGTTGTTCTGGGGAACTGGGCTATTCCTCTGAAGAAAAAAGAAGTAAATGGATCCCCTCGCTCAGGAAAGTGGGAGATGGAGCAATTCCTACTTCCTCATATTTGCATTTGTTTCCTCAAACCCAGCTTGCTGCTGCTGGTGCAGGGCATGAGTGGGTTTGGCCACCCTGCCCGTGAGCCCTTTCCCTCTGCTTCTCCTGAGCACGGCAGCTTTTCTCCACTGCTTTATGGGCACGGGGGATCTGCGCTCGCTGGTTGGAGAAATGCTCACTCCCAGTATGAAACGGGGAGTGCCTGGGATGTGCCAGCTCCCGCACGCCCTCGGCAGAGGCTCGGTGTGTTCTGCTGGCATGCTCCTCGTCCCTGCAGCATCTGCCTGCCATTGTGTCCTGTCTGGTGGCTTGGGGCTGATGTGACTGCACAGGGCAGCTCCACCTCGCACCTCCCCACAGCCTGGCCAGGGCATTGGTAGTTCCCCAGTGTTGGTGCCCTCAGCACGGCACAGCCTGAGGAAATGAGTGCCTCTTACCCTTCACCTCCGTGCTGTGTGGCTGGGCTGGTTACTGCCTGTTTGCTCAAGGGTGCTGTGTGGGTTGCGGTGCTTACCTGGCACATGTGTGCTCCAGAGCCACCTCTCTTCAGAGGTGGTGAGGTTGCGGTGTGGGGAAATGAGGTCTGCCTTTCCTGGGGCAAAAGCCAGGGACAAGCAGCCTATGCCCTGTTCTGATGTGTTGTAGGGCATTTATTTACACATTGTATGATGTAACTCGCAGGCCTTGGTTGCCATGGGCTTGGGGTGGGTAAGGAGCTGTCTTGGATCAGTCTGGGGCTGGCATGTGTGGCTGGGCTGCAAGAAGCCCGGGTGAAAACAGCCTTCCTGCACTGTATCCCCTGGGAGGAACAGAGCTGGGGAGCTGGATGGCTGTGCTTTGTGCTGGAGGGTGCTGCCACGCTTCAGCTCCCTGCAGACACCCGGATCATGACAGTGTCTGGCAGCTCGTGAGAGCTGGCAAAATGTGTTCTGGCTGGAATCTTCAGGCAGCCCCCAGCTGCCTGCAGGTCCCCAAGAGCATGGCCCCAGGGAAAGGAGCCATTGCACACACTCACTGCTGCCCCAGCAACCTCCCAGCAGGCACCAGCTTCCACTGCCACATTAAACTTCACATTTGGGTATGGAAGAAGCATCTCCCTGATGCTGCTGAGCTGGGCTCGGCTGCAGCTCCTGTGGGGCCAGGGGTAGGGAGTGCACAGGAGAACCCACTGAAGCCTTGTCTCCATGCCTGCAGGTCAGCAGCTGGTGCCTGACCTGGAAGGGAAGCAGAAGCAATGTGAGAGTAGATGTATCTGTTATCTGTACATCCATCGGGAATACCCTTGAGGGAGGTTTGCTGCTGGGTATAGTAATTGGTATTAACAGAGAAACAGGGAGGGTAGGATCTTCGGTCCAAACATTGAGGCATGAAAATGGAAAAGAGTTGTTGTAAACTTAAAAAAAATACATAAAACCTTCCCAGCAGCTTCCCGGGCTTTGGCTTTGACTCTGGATGGGGTTTTACTGGAAAGCTGGAATTCCCTGCAGCGGAAAGTGC